GAGGGATCGGGAATTTGCTCACACATCAAAAAATTTGTTTGAAAATTGTTGTACCCATACCTAAAGTTTCCACTTACATTAACTGGTAATTACTCGTAGAAATTATAACACAAATCATAACAGACATCAATAAATAACGAACGTAAAACCTAATTTTAAGCCAAAGATATTTTAAGTACTGATGTAGCCACTTTTTATGGATTGTGACGACCAAAAGTACCAACCAATTCTTGAGAGGATCTCTAAATTGAGAAGCGAGAACCAGACTCTTGTAAAATTATACTGATCAAATATTATACTTCACAAAAAGAGCATTCCTTAGAGTATAAATAATAGTAATATCATGTTTAGACGACTAATGTAGGAAGAAAAATTAATAGAATTGGCCACTCAAAAGAGTTGCAATGGAGCGCCGAAATACCAGCGCTGTTAGCCAATGTTCGTGTGTTTTCGTCGGTATTCCATCATTCAAAGTGTAACCGAGAAATTTCAATTTTGTTACCGTTCGCTCAATTTGGCTTTTCTTAATATTTACGTCCATTCCAATGTTGTCAAATTGAATGCCTTGATTTCATCACTTTGTAACAGTGAAGACAGTGGGAAAATCCAGTCGTCGCCAAGGACGATTAAGTCTTCAGGATGACGTCCAGTTAAAGTAATGATCATCCATGAAATCAAGATGAAATTGCAGATACTTCCGATCAGTTGCGTGAAGTACGTTCCGCCAGCTATACCAGAATGCTTTCGGAACCTTTTTCCTGTGGCAGTTCGTATTGGAGTATGGTTCATATAAGACTTTGTGAATTCGAAGAGGTTGAGAAGGCGTTGTGAGTTCGGAATCGAGCCATCATTGTACCTACTCAGATCAAGATTTTCCAGCAATATTATCACAGGCAATTTCGATCAGCCACGCAGGGAATATACTTTTCAAGGTGGATTTCAAGGAGGACTTTTTTAGGAGGATATACTTTTCAAATACGAAAACGCTCAGCAATTTTTAGGAATGTTACGATAGTTCATGCATGAAAATGAAATAATTCATTTAAGGCTCTATTTCACCAGTTAGCTTAAAGAAATTAGGACATCTTTCAGATATACTTTTACTTGAGTCTTAAGGGTATACAGCTTATTATTGAACGGCCATTTCGCTTTCATCAATATCCCATTCATTGTAATGCTTTCTTCCATTATTCTAACCAAAGTAGAAGTAGAGATGTATTTTACACGCTTCCAACCTATACGTTATCATATCCTTCATCAATATAAAACAACGTACTTACAAGATCAACGACAACAGTTCTACAGCACTACAGTATCGCGTTGAATATTTCGAATATATGTCAAACAAATAATATCTAAATACCATTTTTTTACATTTTATCATGTTCCTATTACTTGTATTTGTAACGTCATTTCTACATATTTCAAAAATCTAATATATTTTATGTCCACTTTGTTGCCTCGTTTGGTAGGATTTTCAGCTAAACGGACTGTGATATAACGTTTCTCATACTTCAATTTTGGACTACCCGCAGGATTTAAACTTCTTCCTCTTAAGACGTACTCATCTCTATTCTGAGATTTGGATTTATTTTATTAATTTTTATAAAAAAGACACCTTTCTTTTTGTTTAAAGATAGATGTCCTTAGAAAAACTCGCTGAATCATGATCTTCATGATGCCCATTTTGGGTTTTTATACATCCATCCTCAGGTCTTACTGAATGGAGCATCCAAGAGCAAGGTACAAAATAAGGAGTAAATCATTCCGAATACGTGATAATTTTTTTTCAAACGAATCAAAGAATTGAGTGAATATGCATCAAACTTTGACGTATACATCTGAATCTTGCTTATTTTGAATATTGAAGAGCTGTTTTCTCTTGGCAGCATCTAGAATCACGAAAAATCATCATTAAAAATAGCCTGCGCGGGAAATCTTTGACTGCTGTTGCAGGCCATTCTCAGGCAAGAGAACCGCAGCTCAAAGGAAGGCATCCATGCTCCCGTGCTAAGCAAGAACGTTGTCTGAGCCTTCAGTCGTTGCCAAATTTTCTTCGATTTATCACGGATTTTCAGGGAAAGATAAGAATATGTTTCTTTCGATTTTTCAGAGAATTTTGTTCGTAATTCGATCTTAAGTGTCTCAGAATTTCAAGGAAAAATATTCATAACTTTCCTCGAAAATCAATGTTTTCTAAGAGGGAATTTGGCAACATTTGAACGCCCTTACGTTGTTTTTCTTCAGCACGGCAGAATGGGGGAGTAATTAACTGATAATTAATTGTATAATTCGCGCCACCAGGAAGGAGGGGTTGAAGACAAGCCGCAGGGTAGACAGCCAGTCGCCCGCGAGAAAAAGAAGGAAAAGAAAAAAAAACCAGGTATAATTGGATGAAACGAGAACAAAAGCATATCTCCGCAGTGGAAAGGGGAGGGGGAGTCATTACCTCGAACAATAACTCCCCCCGTCTGTTGCTCAGAATCGTCCAACGCGGGCGAAATGTTTACTCTATGCCGCTACGCCAGGATTCGTGTGGTTCGTTGGGGGAACTGGCTCCCAAAATAATTCTTTTTCTGCCTTTCCTCTAACAATTTGGAAATTGCATCGATCTAGTCTTATAAAACAGATGAAGCAATGGCAGTGCTGGCATTCCCCGGAATTAATACCTAGTTCCGGAAATTTTGTTATTTCTCGGATTTCCTCCGAATTTCGAAATTTTTCGTCAGTTTGACCAATTATATTCTCAAACTTGATGGTTTTTTTTTTTTTTTTTTTTTTTTTTTTTTTTTTTTTTTTTTTGTCATAGTAGACTATCCTTTGAACTAAGTCCGGGAGTATTTTGGAAGTTTGAAGGAAATTGGAATTTTTCTCAGAGCTTTTGGAATTTCGAGAACCCTGGAATCTTAGGCAAAATAAAATGGCAGCATTGTAGGCTGACTTATCAACAATACAAGATTTTTATGGACCAGTGGACCAGTGGAAGAAATATTAGACCCGACTTTGACCAAGTCGCTAACACCTCGCAAAAATACCCCAAATACCGGAATTATTTTCTAAATATTTCTCCGTTGTATGTGTTGACGACTCATTTTGTATAGTAATGACAAGAACTTAAAACCTTTTGTTGCCCGCTCAGATTTTTTCGTGGTATGGAGACATCAAGTTAACGTCTAATGGTTTGTTACAGTCACGTGCAATGTTTTTCCATTTGAATCATCAGTATGCGGCCAATCGAACGGGAGGAACAATGTTACCATAAATTACTGGTGCTCTGCTTTCAAGAGCTTAAATTTCCCGCTGTAAAAACTTCTGATGCCTCCCCATCGTTGTCAGTTGGTGATGAAAAAAACCATCAAATTACCTCGAGGCTCCATAGTGAGTAATACGCCTTTTTCCCAGTGGGAACGTCGGAATGCGTTCATTCATCCAGGGTTGTAAATTGTATGCTACAATTTGCGTTGTTTCCCGCGGTTCGGAGCAGGGTCGCCAAATTTTGCAACATAACGTGCATATTTAACATCGGTTTTAATTGGGAAAAGTGGTGATTTTTCACCACAATCTAGCAACTCTGGTTCGGAGCGTAACGGTAGGGGAACTCGCATTCCAGGTTCATCCACCAATGGAGCGAGTATGAGGTTTATGACGTCATAAAATCCTCCCCACTTTATGACGCAGTCGGGGGGCTATTTGTTTCCTTCCTGAATCGGTTTCGAATTGCATCATTCTACCCTGAAAATTGGTCGGCTCTGTGCTCAGCCGTGCTTAAGAAGATCGCCGTACGAACATTCGAGAGCTGCCGAATTTCCCTTGATTAAACATGTATTTATGACGAAATTTATGCATATTTTGCCTTGAAATGGTTAGATTTTTCAGATAAGATTGCGTACAAATCGTCTGAAAATTTTGGGGGAAAATATTCATAATTTTCCCAGTAAATTCGGTTTTTATAGAAGGAAAATTGGCAACGTCTGGAGGCTCTTACAACGGTTCCCCCTAGCAGGGTAACGCTGTCCTGAGATCTCAACATTAAACAGATATACCTTTTTTATCGGCTCTTCCGCGGACTGCTAGTTCAAAATACTGCCATTTCGAGGAGAAACACCGTATGAAAGTTCAGACGGTGCCATGTTTATTTCCGTCAAATTCGAATTTTCTCCAAAAATCGTATCTTATCTTCTTACATATTTTCAGAGAATTATCTTCACAATTTTTATCCTGTTTCCGTTACTCACTGCCATCCTAAGGAAAAAAGCCTTATGAAGGTGCCCACTGTATCATATTCATTTTCGTCGGATACGAATTTTCTCACAAACCTGTATTGTGTTTTCCTAAAAATTATTAGAGAATTTTATCGCGATCTTTCTCTTGTCTCTGAAACTTACGAGGACGAATGTATGCGACTTTTTGATACAAACGAAGTATTTTATCGGAGAACAGTGTCGTTTTCAAATGTTCCTACAACGTGTTCTCCTGGGCCCGCAGTGTAACTTGGCGAGCTTTAATTGATTTGAACGCTTTAGTGTGGGTTCTGGAATTTCAGGCCACTTCCTATCGACTTCTTTCACAATTGAAAATGGTTAACAACACGTGGAAAATACTGTTTTTCTTATCGGGGAGAAGCTCGGAGGGTAAAACTTCGGGGACTACTTTGACTTAACGTCCACTGTTTTTTCTTCCATTCATTTCTGTCAACAGTTTTTAAGTCCAGTACCCAATTGTTCACCTATATTCCATGTCCATATATTCATTTACGTACATTAAATTACACTTATTCTTTTCATTTACGTCCACTGTCTTAATCAAAAGAACCATTTTGTGATAAAAAGTTGGAACTGCACGGATGACCGAATATTAGGGTCTGCATTATCCGCAGTCTGTTGTATTTTTCGGTTTTCTTCCAAAAATATTTCGTTCAAAACTGTGTGTGCATTTCTCGTAATACGATGGACAAGGCAACTATTAAAAAATATTGACAATGACTTGCAACAGGTACTCACCATATTATATACATTTTCCCAGTAATCCAAAGTGATTAGCTGGAAAGTAGTTAACATAGACCAGAGGAAATTATCAAAATTGGTGAACCCGTGATTTGGATTGCCGCCCACTCGCAGACATACGAAACCTAACGGGCAATGTCTGAAACAAACAAAGAAAATCTATCAGTCAGCTTATCTGCTACCCAAAGCTATCATTTGTCAATTACATGCAACCTCCAATCCAGAATAATGATCATTGTCTCATAAGAATGGACCACTAGACAAGGTACGAATTTAAGCGATCTGATACATGTTTCTTAACCAGAATTTCACGTAGAAAACGATTCACACAACGAAAATTACCGAAACCAACTCCTAACGAAAATATTTACATTTTTATTTTACATTGGTTACGAGGAATTTGAACTGCCCGCTCACAAGAAACTCAAAACTCTACGTGGGTCAAATCGCCCACTACAACGGTTTCAGCAAGCTTCTCAACCGAGCAATGTTCATTTCCCATCATGTGTTGTTCAAACTATTAGCAATTTGCTATAACTGAGTCAAAGCGTCAAGATTGAGGTTGCCAGATTTTTATATCGCAGAGACTGTCATGATAACGTTTAGCGCGCGATGTGAATCACGTAGAGCATTGAGTTTTCATGAGCGGGTGGTTTGAATTCACGCACCAAGAATCATTAAATATCTTCGGAAGGAGTCAATTTCGGTAATTTTTGTTGTGCGCATCGTGTTCTACGTGAAATTTTAGTTACGAAACATGTATCAGAATGCTGGAATTCGTACCTTGTCTAGTGGTCCATTGTTTTAATCCCAGATCTAAATGTTTCGGTGCGGAGGGATAGGCACTTACATATGCTGCCCCCACCCCTGCGCTGTACATTACAGAAAAAAATTACCGGAGTGACTCTGGATTCCTTTCCGTGGATGTAGAATGAAAAACATATTAGTATTAAACATTAGTATTATATTAGTATGAAAACATATGTAGTATATATATTAGTATCTGTAAATTTTTAATAAAGGCATACCATAAATCAAGAAACTGGAAAATCGTCAGTTTCCGTCCATTTTTGAGATTAAAAACATGTTATGGATTCTAGTCTAAAATTACTGAAAGTCAAAGACATGAATAATACTGCACAAATATTTCAATTATTCCAATAGTTGCAAATTGCCGACGTGGAGTAAAAACGCCGTAGGTCCGTTGGCTATCTTTGGTTGGACAATCATTTTTGTGAAGCCTTCTCAATACTCTCATCCATGTGGATCGACTTCTTCTTTCGCGTGCTTTCTGGATATCCCATTTTCGCTTTCAGCATGAGAAATTATATTCATTGAAACTAGACGAATACACCTGGTCCAGTATCTTATCTAGTGGCCCATTCTTTCCTCTGGTACATATTGCAAGCAGGGGTGGGGGACAGCATATGTAAGTGCCCACCCCTTCGTCCGCAATCGCCACCGCCGAAATTCTCTGATCCGCAAACTCCACGGCCCTGCGTCGCCTTACCGCAATCGCCACCATCAAAATATGAGTATCCGCAAACGCCACGTCCGCAATCGCCACCGCACCAAATGTTTCAAGTAACGCAAAGTTCTGTCTAAGGAGCGTGAATTATCGCGCGACGCGTCTTAGAAGAAATAATAGGAATACTGTATTCGGCAGATGATCACTCTTCGAGCGTATTCTGGGTTTTTCAAGGTGACAAAGAATACTATTCTCGATGGAGCAAGTATTTTACTTCTCCAGTACATCCGTATTCTTCATTTTGTGCATTTTACCAGGAATATCCAAAAAAAATTACTGCATTGGTCCATCAGGGAAGCATCCAAGCACCATAACATAATTTCTCCTCAAAATTTCGGAGGAAAACATATTAGGTACAAACTTTAATCCGGAAATCAACGCCTATAATATAATAAAGTTTAAATTTAACATTGGCTTAAGGGGAAAAAATATTTGTGTCATATAACAAACAATCCAACTTCCATCTCTAAAATACTTGTTGTTTCTCGAACTTTTCACGTTGAGTGAATAATTCTGTAAGATTTTAAAGTAGAATCTAGGTTATTTCTTAGTAGTTCAGACCTTTTCCAGTAGCCAAGATATAGGAAGGGCATTTTTCAGTTGTTTAGTATATTAGAATCTCCGCTAATATTTCACGTTTTCATATTTCTGATTTTGCAACTCTCCTAACATTTCTTACAAAACACCATAAGCAAAGAGATAAAAAATTAGCTATGGAGATTTTGAAACTCTGCAACTGAGGAATTCCCTTCCTGTACCCGTTGCCTCAATTTCTGAAAGACCCTGGAAATTGGAACTTTTTCGATCAGAAATAGTAACGACACTTCCAGTATCCTACAACGACCCTTATGGAACATATGTTCTTGTAGACCGCTTTTCTCCGAAGAAGACTGAAATGACCTTTTTTGGAAAGAAATATGTCTCTAAATGTATCGTACTTTCCATAGGGTGACCAATGCTAATATTTTCGCGCACATATTTCATCCTTCAAGTACACCCGTATCACTTACTCAACCCAGTTTCCGAACTTTTCGCCTTTATAACGTAGAAGTTATCCGTCCTTTTCTCATTTTTATTGCGAAGCAAAACTCTAACGACGATACACCGCTGCGGTGGCGAAGCATGGATGACGGACCATCGATACTTCCCCATTTGAAGCTACAGTAAAGAATCGATTATTAAGGTGTTGGTAGCCAACACTCTATTTATCGATCCTTTTTCATACGATTTCCCCTTTTCAAGTTATGGTAAAGAATCGATTATTAAGGTGTTGGTTGCGAACACCCTATCTATCGATCCTTTTCCGTAGGTTTGAATGGCGGATCAATCGATGTATCGCAAAGCACGCCACGGAGAGAGTATACAGCTCATTATTCTTGGGAGAAAAAGCAGAGCTATCGGCGGGGGTTTCTGGGCGGATTAAATGTTAGTGTCTTTTTGATACTTGGGCGAAGTTTTGCAAGGGTGACAGACGGAACTTGCCGCGGAGCGGGACGCCGGCGAAATAATAACGACCCGACAAATTGAGTCCCTGTCTCCAGATAGTTGAAGTTCATTCGAGCGGCATTGCCACCTCGTCCGCGGCACCCTCTCGCGACCGTGACCCTCGGGTTAAATGACCGTTTCTACATGTTGCCGTCCTCAGGAAAAACGCCGTATGAGCCCTCAGACGTTGCCGAATTTCCTCTGACAAATCACGGATTTCCGGGGTTTGTCTATACTTTTCTCCATGCTGCCGTGCTCAGGAAAAACGCCGTATGAGCCCTCAGACGTTGCCGAATTTCCTCTGACAAATCACGGATTTCCGGGGTTTGCCTATACTTTTCTCCATGCTGCCGTGCTCAGGAAAAACGCCGTATGAGCCCTCAGACGTTGCCGAATTTCCTCTGACAAATCACGGATTTCCGGGGTTTGTCTATATAATTCTCCATGCTGCTGCGCTCAGGAAAAACGCCGTATGAGCCTTCAGATGTTGCTGAATTTCCTCTGACAAATCACGGACTTCCGGGGTTTGTCTATATTTTTCTCCATACTGCTGCGCTCAGGAAAAACGCCGTATGAGCCTTCAGACGTTGCTGAATTTCCTTTGACAAATCACGGATTTCCGGGGAACTTCGTCTTTATTTTTCTCCATGCTGCCGTGCTATGGGAGAACACCGTATGAGTCTTCAGACGTTGCCGAATTTCCTCTGACAAATCACGGATTTCCGGGGTTTGCCTATATTTTTCTCCATGCTGCCGTGCTCAGGAAAAACGCCGTATGAGCCCTCAGACGTTGCCGAATTTCCTCTGACAAATCACGGATTTCCGGGGTTTGTCTATATTTTTCTCCATGCTGCCGTGCTATGGGAGAACACCGTATGAGTCTTCAGACGTTGCCGAATTTCCTCTGACAAATCACGGATTTCCGGGGTTTTTCTATATTATTCTCCATGCTGCCGTGCTCAGGAAAAACGCCGTATGAGCCCTCAGACGTTGCCGAATTTCCTCTGACAAATCACGGATTTCCGGGGTTTGTCTATATTTTTCTCCATGCTGCCGTGCTCAGGAAAAACGCCGTATGAGCCTTCAGACGTTGCTGAATTTCCTCTGACAAATCACGGATTTCCGGGGAACTTTGTCTTTATTTTTCTCCATGCTGCCGTGCTATGGGAGAACACCGTATGAGTCTTCAGATGTTGCTGAATTTTCTCTGACAAATCACGGATTTCCGGGGTTTGCCTATATTTTTCTCCATGCTGCCGTGCTATGAGAGAACACCGTATGAGTCTTCAGATGTTGCCGAATTTCCTTTGACAAATCACGGAGATTGACATTTGATTTCCGGAGAAAATCAATTTGTCTTCTCCAAGCTGCCGTTCTGAGAAAAAAACGCCGTATGGGCCTTCATACGTTGTTGAACTTCCATTGACTAATCACGGGTTTCCAGGGAAATTTGTCGATTTTTTATTTTAATTTTAATGAGAGTTTCGTTCGTGGTTAGGTCGGAAGTATCCGAAAATTTGAAGGAAATATAATTAGAACTTTCCTCAGGAAACAAGGTGGTGAAATGTGTCTGGGTCCACACCACTTGGCGAGCAAAATAAATCAGAAATCCAAAAATTTCAAATAGAGTCAAAAATTGTTGAGCTCTATTGAGAATCAGTACAAGGCTGACGAGAGATACTCATTAGAGCGCAAACAGTTTTGACTCCAATAGAAATTTTTGGAACTCTTTGTCTTTGTTCTCCCTGCGAAATGATGCGGAATCAGCACTATTTCACCACCTTGTTACTTACAGTTCAGGCCATTTTATAGTGTTTTTTCTCGTTTCCTCAGTAATGAAAATTTCTTTAGAGGAAATTTGGCAACTCTCGCATCTTCATACTGCGTTTTTCCTTAGCAACGCAGTATGAATACTCGAATTATAAGTAAGATGTTAAATGGACCAACTAGACTAGGTACAAGTTTAGGCAATGTGATACCGGAATGAGCAAAAGAAACCCTCGATACGCCATAACTTTTTCAATCATTGATTTAAAATGTGTCGGTTGTCCGTCCCTATCATTGAGTGAAAAGTTTTTCAGACGTCATGACCCTGCGAACCACCTAGTAGGGCCAGGGAGCAAATT